GAAATGGTGTTTAACGTTGCTTTCAAGATTATTTCCCTTACATAGGTAAGGTGAAATGGGGTTTAACGTCGCATTCATGATTAGTTCACTTATAAAGCGACGTGCTTGCACGTGTGTGTGTGTGTGTACGTGTGTGTGTGTGTGTGTGTGTGTGTGTGTGTGTGTGTGTGTGTGTGTGTGTGTGTGTGTGTGTGTTTGGCTGCTTGTACTAGTCCGGACTAATGCCGATTTTATAGTGCGTGCCCACTGAGATATTATGCCGCAGTTTAACATGAATACCCCACCTAGTATACTCACTCCGAGCCGATCAGTCCTTGTTTTAGCCCCCTTATGCCTAGCGCCAGACATGGTAACAACAAGTACCGTCTTGTAACGTCTTTTGGTATGACGCGACGGGGGATCGAACCCCGGACATTCCGCTCCCCGGTCGGACGCTCTACCACTAGGCCACGGAGGCGGTCGCACTTAATCCCGATTTATGCCGGTTTGATAGTGCGAGCCCACTGAGTTACCTGAGTTTAACATGAATACCACACTTAGACACAGTATATTGACTCCGCGGAGTCGAGTCCTTGTTTTATCCCCTTAAATTTAATGCCGAGCGCCAGGCAGGGTAACAACAAGTACCATATTTCAACGTCTTTTTGGTAAGAAGTGGCCAGGCGTTCCATTACACCACGAAGGCGATTGTGATTATCATGTACAAAATGATGGTGATGATGATCATCATCATGACGATGACGATAACAACGACGACGACGACGAGGAGGAGGAGGAGGATGTGAACATCCATTTGCTCTAAAGAACCCATTATATGTCATTTTCTGACCGCTGTTATCAATAGGTCACGCACTCAAAAGACTTATTATATTTGTAATCGGGCTATAATGACTGAGTTTGGTTTAACGCCGCTTTTAACAGTATTCCAGTTATTTCACGGCGTGTCAACTTAATGTGGGAGGAAAGCCCGAAGTGATGCAGGTCTCAGACGTTTACCACTTCAGTGAAACCCACGAACACGGGTATGGTGCTGACAAACCTAGAAACATAATCGGGGCGAACAGGGATTCGAACCAACAATCATAGGTTTCTGGCGTGCCCAAAGGACGCAACTCTGCACAACGAATCGCGGCGCCTCCCACGACTGGGCCACCATACCCCCTAATCGGGCTATTGAGGACATGAATATATTAAGAATTTGTACAACAATGGGTTTTTTAGGCATTGACAACTTGTATAGAATTAACACAGTACAACTGTATTCGCATTCCTACAGCTTGCAAGTTAATGATCGTTAAAACAGGGAAAAACCCACGTATTGCATTCGTTGTGCCTAACTATTTTTTAACGATTTAAGATTATTGTTTTGGAACAGGATATCAACTAAATAACACCATGTGAATACATCTCGGTAATTCCCAAAACTGCTCAAGCATAATAACTTGTGGAATTTCGAGTTGCAGTCAATCTCCTTTGGGCTTCTCACAACCAGATTGGCAACTGAAGTAATTATGGATCGCCGCTAGCCTTGAGACCCTGACCACCTGAAACATATCAGTCCTATACAGAAGGGAGCTGTTTTTATGTAGCGTGACAACAGCCAGACTACTGTCATACGTAAATGTTAACGTTAAGGTAACGACAGACATAAAAGCGACAAAACCACAAGAAATCGCTTGTACGATTCCGACTGTATTATGAACATGTGATTATGACTAACTATCAAATAGAGATAACAACAAATCTGTTTGATGTCGCAATTGTCTTACATTGGCAGGTCCTGTCTTAACATGAAACGATTACGCCATGTTTTTCTACGAATATTCATGAATATTATCCGACTGCGATTCACCGTTTTTATCAAGTTCGAAAGCTCAATATTTACACAATGTTAAAACTAGCACTCCCAGTTTGATCATATTCGCCAAGAAACTTTATAACCAATCTCATTAAAATCAGATCTTAGTTCTCGCTATCGCTATACAAAGATCTGAGGACATCCCATTAAGGGTCACGTCAGAACGACCTTTCATCCGACCATTCAAAGCGTCGCTTATCAGATCATGAAAGTGACAGTCGGAATGTGTTTTCTAATCATGCAACCTCGAAAACGTTAACACGGGGTACTCCGAACGACATTTACGGCCCGTACGACTGATTCCGTCAAAATTATCGTCTTTCTCTCGCTTCCGTGGGATAAACATTTGAACGGAGGAGGCGTTGGACAGTACGTGGGAAGCACTGCCATACAATCGCAACCATATGTTAGACATTCCGGGATGTTCGTTTGTTCAGTTTAAAAAATAGAATTAATCGAGAACTGTGTCAGCGTAGTCTGAATTGGAAGTTGTCAAGTCGAAACGAGTGCCGTAAAGCGCGTGAAAGCTGCTTTCTAATTGGCTGATGTCGACTTCTTGTTAGTCGTTTTAGTGGTCGGTCAAAGTTCGCGAATGGTCGTTCTGTCGTGACACGTAATGGGATGTCCTCAGATCTTTGCTTAGCGGCAGCGAGAACTTAGATCTGATTTTAATTAGATTGCTTTATAACGCATGCACAACTACGCCGATGACAGGTGAGTGAGTTGGGTTTAACGCCACTTCGAACAGTATTCCAGTTATATCGCGGCGTGTCAGTTTAATGTGGAAGGAAAGCCCGAAGTGATGCAGGTCTCAGACGTTTACCACTTCGGTGAAACCCACGAGCACGGATGTGGTGCCGACAACCCAAGAAACATAATCGTGGCACCGATGAAGATGTGATATGAAAATAATGAATGCATGCTTCATCTACAATCCACATAACCTTAATAAACGATTATTATCACTGATAAAGACATTCACCAAAAAGGTTATGCCTATGCCAAATTGACATGCAAGCACCTTGAAAATAATATATTTTAATTGATCTGTTGACAACTTTGAGGTTTTCCCAATGTCATTTAATTTTACACTAACTATATATATATATATATATATATATATATATATATATATATATATATATATATATATATATATATATATATATAATAAAATAATAAAGTCCGCGTTAGTCCATCATCTTCTTTATATCAGTTTCATACATAGTACTTTCGCTGTCTCATGACAGCTCTTCAGTGTAACTGACATATGTATATGACATATGGATATGTCAGTTACACTGAAGAGCTGTCATGAGACAGCGAATTCAAAGTACTATTTATGAAACTGATATAAAGAAGATGAATGGACTAACGTGGACTTTATTATTTTATTATATATTACATGTACACCGAGTGAACATTTACCTCATTTTTGTATATATATATAAATATTTATATATATATATATATACATATATAAATAAAATAATAAAGTCCACGTTAGTCCATCATCTTCTTTATATCAGTTTCATACATAGTACTTTCGCTGTCTCATGACAGCTCTTCAGTGTAACTGACAATGACATATAATGACGTCATACTTATGATGACGTCATAAATTACAACTGTGACGTCATAATGTATTTACACACTCCAGCGACGACACCAAGTAATTTAACAATTGTAGGGAGACATTTGAATTAAATATACAGTATTTGTAAAGTAACTGTGCAACATTTACGATTGAACTGACAAATCTATTAATACATTCTAGAGTTCAATTTGGGTTTCATCAATTGGATAAACATTTGTTCTTTTTCCAGTCTCAGCTGCTTGTTACTTGTATACAATTTATAAAACGGAAAAATACTAAATTTCCCGTTTCCGCAATCATCAACGTGTTTGCTGACACCTAAGCATCGAACATTAGGGTCTCTAATCTGCTGTTTGTGTACAGTGACTCTATCTTTTAATTCCATGCCGGTTATACACACTTGGGACCGATTGTATCGATCGAGTGTATTCATAACCCCTGGAATCTAATAACGCAAACATTAGACACTGAATTAGTCACCTACGTTGAATGATGCTCACATGCATATAACTTGCATTATGCATTTCTCATTAAGATAAAGGTACAATGTAAGATCAATAAATTACCTCTGAAACAAACTCATATTTCTAATGATAACAATGTAACGATATCGTTTAAACAGGGCACGTCGTACATTTCAATTCAAACTGAAAATAGTCTTTAAACTACATGTAATCAATTAATCACAATGGTAGGAGACTTCCTGGAAGAGTCCTTTTAACCAAAATGTGGTCATCATGCTTCCTACACGTCATTAGACACACGGTGGGTTTAATGTGGTCAAATCAAGATAGGTAATTGCACAGTTGTGAAGCACTTAAAACAGCTTTCATGGTGCCTTTCTGCATTACAAGAAAAATCAATGAACGATTGATCTGATAGTCACTGCAGCAAGAAACAAAGGACACTTTATTTCGTAGCCATTAGACCACGTGGAGTACTGATAGGGTATATGACATGGGTGATCAGTTGCGTGTATTCTGATGAACGAGATGACGTTCCTTTAAACGCAATCCACGTTGGACAAAGGAGCAGATAAATATGTTTTGTTTTATATCTCTGTTTGTTTGAAATCGTTTCGGACTGTTTCAGCCATCACGCTTTATGTAGGGCAGGCACATTGCTTTTAGTTCTGTCATGTCAAATATTTATCTGGAATTGATTTGAGGTAGCACTATTTATGTACAGATGACAACTGCGTGACGGTCAACAAGATGCATTATTGACAGAGGCGGCGGGTCCGGCGTGAATGGGGGTGTATGTGTGTGTGTGTGTGTGTGTGTGGTGTGGGGGGGGGGGGGGGATGGGTCCTCTTGTCCCAACCATCACACACTCCACACTCAATTTAATAACTTGACACCAATCCCCACCCCACCGCCCCAACTGAAGTTTAAAAGGATGAAATTAACAACACCGACATTGAATATTGAATATCATCGACGCACATTGATTGTGTCACATAAACAAATATTCCCATGTTCGCCCTATGTATGGACACAACTGAATTTTAGAAAATTGGTAAATTTACAAATAAAATATACTTACTGTGTTGCTTTAAAGTCACTGGCGCTTTCCTGTGAACTTACACAAACGAAGATCACCCCAGGCAGTTCCTAATACTGTGTTTATGGATACAAACTTCAGCTTGCTTAGTATGAACTTGTTTGCAAAGTCCCCAGCAGTAAACTCAATGCTCGTAGAACCTAGTTCATTACTACATGAAGTAAGAACTCTGTGGTCAGTAGGATGCTCATCCAATGACGGTCCACGACACACTGACCAGGTTCCGTGAGGCGGGGTGGGGTCGATGACAGCAACTACCCAGGGGATATGGTCTTGGCCTGATGCTGGCCGACTAGTGGTGACTGTTAGTGCCAATGTTCTCACTATTGCTGGCGTGTGCCTTTGGACCAGGTGCTATCGATTGCTTAAGCATCTCGCTACCAATAGAACCACGCCGATCTGTTAGTCTCTAATTCAGCAGGAAAGGCTTCCCTGATCACACTTCGGTTTGATGTGCTTAGTTTTGGTGTGTAAGTACGGCGTGTTGGTTTACTGAGAATAATTAATTAGATACCAGCTGTTCACGTTCACAAGGGACTTGTATATACGCCTCCAGAACTGGACATTAGATTCCGTGCAGATAATGAGCAGTCGTGACCATCCGATAAGTTGTTTTATGAGTTCTTATGACTGTTGAAATGCTTTCTGCCCTATTTATATGCATAACATTTGTAATATATCATAACACATCAACGTCAGAGAATAATCAGACTCCATTATCTGTAAAAACAAATTCCTTTGGGCGTAAAAGGCTAACAGTGGTGACAATAACATGGATCACTGAAAATCGGCTATGACAACAGGTGTTCGCGAAAAGAGAGTGAGTATGTATGGTTTTACGCCGCTTTTAGCAATATTCCAGCAATATCTCGGCGGGGGACACCAGAAATGGGCTTCACACATTGTACCCATGTCGGGAATCGAACCCGGGTCTTCGGCGTGACGAGCGAACGCGTTAACCACTAGGCTACCCGACCGCCCCTGTTCGCGAAAAGGGTAAGCATACCATGTCCTGCCGAGAGAAGCCACCAAACACACGATTTGCATTATAAGTAAGTATTTCTTCCTTGTGGCGCACAGAAGTTATCCTACCATACGACGGTGGCCTGTTAACAGTCGAGTCTTGACTAGATAATCAAGTGATGGGCCAGACAATCCAATGACACGATAGCGCATTTACTGATTTTGTTGAAACTAAAAACGATGTGTAAATTTGGAGTATGGTGTGAGCAAAGGATGATTTGATGGCCCATGGACAAATATTGAGATAACGGATAAAAAAGCATTAACTTAAGGGAAAAATTCACCTGAAGTATGTGTCATGATGCAAAGGAATGAGGTTTAAGCAGAGGATAATTAGCTGGCCCATGGTTTAAAATTTGTTCGTTTGTAAACATGGTTTAAAATTTGTTCGAAAAACGGTTTTTAATTGTCCTTATGCCTTAGTATCTACCCATGAAAATAGCATGTTGATATACCGATACCGTCCTCAACGCGGAGAGTTTCTCGAAAAATGGGTTTCCAGACTGTTACAATTTCTTTCCCCTTTAATTTGTGTAAAAGTCAATTTCGAAAATCGAAATCGGATCTAACATAGTCGCGGTACATGACGACATCTTATATTCAAACTGTGGTATTAGTGAAGGTTGTTTAACGTCACAGACAGCAATATCAAGCAAACCAATAATCATACTTATCTGGCTACATACAGAACTGTCCACTCGATCCATTGCAGTTGGAGCTAAAGCATAAGTTATTTTTGGCCAACTTTGGCGGAGCTTAAGCAGTTGAACGAGCAGATATAATTAATCAAATAAACGATAAAACCCTTTCCATTTCCAATAGAAATCTCTGCATAAAGCAGAGTCGATTGTTGGATTCCGACTATGGTATGAGCATGTGTTTATGAATCACTATCAAATAGTTATGATTTGAAGTCAGTAGTTGAAAGGCCGCTTAGAGTTCGTTATATAAGGAGTTGGTCGTATATCATGGGAATATTGGCTATTGTCATTTGATATCTTCATAAGATTAGTACAGACTGAATTATGACGGAAAGAAACCTTCAAACCATTCTCTCACCGTGCGGCACGTGCACTATTTGCAATATGTGATATTTGGTTCATTGAAGACTGATTAAGAAGCGTAACAAAGCATTATTGATGAATAACGTAGTGAAGATTAAGGACACATAACGAAGAATTATCGATATGCAATCACGAAAACACGATCGGCTTCGCTTCGCATTGTTGTCGGCGACAGAACCGTTAGTTGGAGCCAAATAATATATTATTGTTTTCGTCTCCTTCTACCGAAGTATAAACTCCATATGTGCTGTTTATAGCTGGATGGAAGATAAAGCTTGATTACAATCAATAACAAGCTAGTGAATTTGGATTGAACAGTGCTTCAGTTATAATGATGAACATCGTTAACCCGAAGGCCATGTGCGCGACGTACCGTTTGTAAGAGGCGACTAACGGGATCAGGTGGTCAACCTCGTTGACGTGGTTGATGCATGCTATCATATCCCATGCGTGAAAGTCGATGCTCCTGATGTCAATCATAGGATTGTCTGGTCCAGATCCGATTTCCTACAGACCGACGTCATATAGTTGGAATATTGCTGGCAAAAAAAGACAAAATAGTTGTGAAATTGTATGGATGGTTCACCGAAAATCAGTGATGACACCAGGTGTTCGGGAAATGGGTAAGTATGTTCAACCCTATAGCAGGGTGTAGCACCCGCCACACACAATTTGCAGAAAATGTGATGTCTCTTTTCCGACTGCGTCAATGAAATTGTTATTTGATCCACGGTAATAGTGAGTGAGTGAGTTGGGTTTAACGCAACTTGAAACAGTATTCAGGTTATTTCACGGCGTGTCAGTTTAATGTGGGAGGAAAGCCTGAAGTGATGCAGGTCTCAGACATTTACCTGGTTTTCAGGAGGACGTGATGACACTTAAACAACTCGGCTCCTTCGCCACGTATCATAATTGTGAAATCATAGTTTATTCGAAGTTAGCTTAATTTGTTTATGATATTATGTAATAATTTCTATTATCTGGAACCCACTGGGGTTTTCGGTGAAATAGGTCCCCAACGCCTTAGGGGAAAGCTGATTAAATGGTTGGGCTTGGTGGATTGAACTGACTGACGACATGTCACCACATCCGGATGGCGTGGATCGCTGCTCATGATTTCAGTCTCTGGTTTGTTTGATTCAGAAAAGACTAGCAATGGGCCTCACTCACTCACTCACTCACTCACTCACTCACTCACTCACTCACCTCACCTCACCTCACCTCACCTCACCTCACCTCACCTCACCTCACCTCACCTCACCTCACCTCACCTCACCTCACCTCACCTCACCCGAAAGGGATCCCGGTTACTTTGACGTTTCAATTCTTCTTCCACCTTCGCTTTGTAGTGAGTGAGTGAGTTTTGTTTATTGCTACTTTTCAACAAGATTCCAGTTTCATCATTCATCTTGATTTCGGAGGAAAGTCTGAAGTGATGCAGGTCTTACGACTTTGGTGGAACCTACGAGCACGGGCATGGTGGGGATAAACACAGAAACATAATCAGTACTAATCTGGAATTCGAACCCACAACCATAGGTTTCCAAGGGATACAATTCTGCACAGCAAATTGTTCAGAAATATATTCAGACGAAATGTTAAACTATATCTACACTTCACTCCCAAGACTGCCCCTGAGATTCGCTGGATCAAATAATCCGATAATAGTGAAGTTCATCTGTTGGTTTGAGTTTGCTTCACACCCAAATTCCTCAACAACGTGCTAATACCACAGCTTAAATTCAGTTCATCGACATATTTCTATAGACCTTGATTGTTATCGTTCACCCCAAACACAATGTTATCTAACCAGATTCTGGATCAATATCTGATGGTCTATGATGCGGAAGGTAAATGTCCTCCAAAGAAGGTTCTGTTGAGTGGCTAGAGTGATCCCGGTGGGGCATGTGCCCTGACGCTGGAGATCAATGCGTGAAGGAGGAGGGAGAAGGAGGAGGGCCAGAGTAGGGGCTGGATGGAAGGATCCTGTTGGAAAACACTCGCTTGAAGATAAACATGGCCCAGTGTTAGCTGATAAAGCTTGCACAGACAGTATAAATGATTTTTAGGATTGATCTCCAAGTGATTACATGGATGTTGTTCCAGGGCAATGATTGACCCCTCGGCCATTTCCCATCTTTGTATTGTACCACTCCTAGATAACATGAAAGATGTCCGTCATGAACATACCGCCGATTCTTGGTACTCTTTAACGCTATGTCGCCTCATTTGGAGACGATTCAGTAGGAATGGTGATGAGGATTGTCAGTGAACAAAAACGTCTGTTTATTGACAAATCATTTGTTTTCAAACACAGTTGTTAGTTTTATGGATGTCTGGTTCATGCTTGTTTGGTCAATTTGTCATTTAAGCAGTCTGATACAGATATCGATGACATTTCGTCTAGATGTCATTTCACATAGGATTCATAACAAAACGCTGACATATTTAGGAAATGTTTCTCTTTTTCTAAGGGAATATATTTTACGTCTGTAGTTTGTAACATGGAAACAATATTAAAGTTTCCTTTTCCCCATAGTACATTACCAACAGATAAGGGATCCGAACGTATGGTGCTTAAGCACGAGTGGACTTTAAGATTTTGAATCGCCAGGAGAAAGAAACACTGTTCATGAACATATTTTAACCAATACTAAACTCTGGTAAACAATTAAGAATTTGATGCGGTATCTAAGGAATGTATAACAGTAGAAGCTGTGATGATCAGTGCTGCGACAAGATTGAAATTTCGTTTATTACTGATGCTCCCAACCTTTATGATGCCACAGTGTTTATACTTAATGCAAGATTGAGAGCATGTATACTCTCTCGATTTCAAGAATCTGATCTGAGCCCTGCCAAACGTCGCGTTCAAGATTATTGCACATACATAGTGAGATTAAACTGTAAAATCGATGGTGTGTGGTGTTGTTTGCTTGAAAAAAAGTTCTTAGATCCCTGCACTCTTAACTGTGTATGATGATGAATACTTTACTGTTTATATTTCAAAACCATACGTAAAAGATACCAGTAAAAATGCATTTGTTCCTAAGTAATGATAAATCTTTCGCCAACTGCTTTGCACGGTTTAGTTGAATTGTATTTACTTGTCACATTTCAACAGAAGGCGTTCACCTGTAATAATGATATATTTTTCAAGTGTCATGTGACTATGATATAACCAGTAATTGGG